AGCGTTGACAAGTGGTGTCAAGAAGTATGTTGCATGTAGCGAATGCCATGCCATATATGATAATGAAGCCGCCCCTTTGTGTTGTACATCACCCAATTTTGGTAAAACCTCCTTGTGTGGCAACAGCTTGTTTAAGTCTGGTCCTGGGTCAAAAGCACTCAAAAAGACATATGTATTCCACTCTGTCAAGAAAGTCCTAAAGACGTTTTTTCAACGCCCAGATTTTGAAAACAAGATCAACTCATGGAACTGCGGCCCGAAAATAGATAGCACTTTGTTTGAAGTGTACAATGGTGCGATGTCGAATGAGATAGTAGACATAGATGGTATACCTTTTGTTGATACTGAGCGATCACTCATACTCATGCTGAACATTGACTGGTTTCAGCCATTCGATGGTGTTATCTACTCCTGTAGTGCCATATATCTTGCAATCAATGATCTTTCACACAGTGAGCAGTTTAAGAAGAAGAACATAATTCTTGTTGGGTTAATGCCAGGGCCTAAAGAAGCGAGCACTTCTGACATAAATAACTATCTGAAACCACTTGTCAATGAGTTGATGGAGCTGTATAAAGGTATTAAGATTAAGACTCACTAATGTCCAAATGGTACTTCTATCTGAGCAGCCCTTCTCATGGTTGCCTGTGATATACCTGCTGCAAGAAAAGTATGTGGGTTCATGTCCCATACAAGTACAAATGCATACCACAAGTGTAAGCATCAATTTTCGAGGTTGGCTGGAACGAGTTCCATTGATTATTCTGGATTCGATTTCTCAAAGTGGCTTCTTCGCACTAAGAATGACAATCATAAGGATGCAGAGATCTGGAGAAATGCAACCAAACCAACTGAGAGACAGCGTCTTGAAGTTGCACATGGTGTTTGCTGGTCCGAACTGCATCGTCTTCAGTACTTTGACATTGTCTGCTGCACAATCATCAATCTCATGCATAATCTTTTCTTAGGCACTGCCAAAAGAATGCTGGAGAGATGGGTTGCGGATGGATTAATTGACAATAAAAAACTCGTTGCCATGCAAAAGGCTGTTGAGAAGGTAGTGTTGCCACCTGATTACACGTCACTTGGGACAAAGATTGCCAAGGGATTTCCCTATATGAAGGCTGATGAGTGGAAGTCTTGGTACCTTGTGTACTCTCCTGTGGTTCTAAGAGATGTGTTGCCATTGCCAGAGTTCAAGAACTGGATAGAGTTTGTTAACGCATGCAGATACTTCACCAAGCCTAGTGTTTCTGAAGAAGACATTGAGAAAGGACACAAATGCGTAGAAGAATTCTGTAAAGGGTGTGAAACATTGTATGACCTGGACCTTCTCTCTCCCAACATGCACCTGCATCTGCACTTATGCCAAACAATGATTGACTTTGGGCCTGTCTATGGCTATTGGCTTTTCAGCTTTGAAAGGTATAATAGTGTCCTGAAAAATATTAAAACCAATCGAAGAAACGGGTTCGAATCAACATTTATGAGACAGTTCATTAAAGAGTCGTGGAAGAGAGATTTTGTTTGTCGACTTCTGAAATCTATGCATGCACTTGCATGTTTTGAAATTTTTGATAAGTTCACCACCAACAACAACAACACCAATACCAACACCAACACCTACGTCTCTCACTCTTTCTCAATTTCTGAATATCTTGAAGCTTCACAGAATCTTTCAATGACAATTCGTGGAAATGAGCCCCTGCCACCATCCGCCTTGCCATTGAAAACAAGACCATTATCATTTATGCCAAAACATGAATATGATTGTCTTGTAGGATACTATCAAGCTGCATACAAGAATCCACAGATCTCAAGTTGCAAAGATGTAATTGATGACTCATCTTTCGTCAATGACTGGATCGAAATGGTGAAGTCTGTTGATCTTCTTGGGCAAAGCTACAAAGGGTGCAATGGCACAAATGGCTGCAAATCATACATACAAGCATATTTCACTGAACGAACTGGGTCGGAACATGCATATGTCGGAGAGATTCAGTACCTTTTTGTTCACAGTTTTAGGTCAACTGTTTCTTCTCTAACATACAGAAATCCCCATAGTAGTCAGCATGTATTTGCATTTGTCAAATGGTTCAAATCCACTTCGGACAAAACAAGAGAATTAGAAGGAGTTGAGTTGTTACAGAATGAATTCTACAAGCAAGATTTTCAAATCATCCTGCCAGTACATCGGATTCTCCTAACAGTTGCAATAGTAGATTACAAAACTACAAAAAATGTCAACAAAAAACTCGCGATTCCTTTACCAAAAAAAATTTACTATTAATTTTCATACACACACTTACTTATATATTTATCCTCTATTATTACTATTTTCTTTAATCAATTCAATTTCAATTATTACTATTTGGCCCTACAACAGAACATAGTAAAAAAAGAAAATGTTTATTCATCATTGATTGCCCAACAAGGCAATGACTGGGACAGGGTGGCAGGAACAGAGCAAGGCAACAATGTTGCTAGATATCTGTTCATTCTTGGCTTTGTTCCCACGCCTGCATTTGACACGTGATGGGTACGATCAATGTCATCAACCATTGTCAACAATCTGTTGAACTGCATTTATTTTTATTAGTTCTTTATTTTTCTTGTTATAAAACTTATTTATTTATTCTAAATATTATTTACCTCTTCACTTCTCCAAGTGGGATGAGCCACATGCAAACACCGTTGTGGAAGATTGTCCACAATCTCAATATCCAACTCACCATCAGACATGGCATCCTTCTGAAAGAGTTTGAGATAGGCCATCTCAACAGGGTTTCCAGTCTTATATCCCATTGCAGCATCAATGGCTACCCAGTTGTCCATGTATGTTGACTTGCGTCAGATAGACATCTGGTTATATAGATTGTAGCTTGAGAAAGTAGTAATATACCAATTAATTTTTTATATAGTATATACAAACCTGAAGAGTACGACTGTTTGCTCTCCCCTTGCTGTTTTTCTTGGCCTTCTGCTCAGGAGACTCGTGAAAAGTACGATGACTGTGCTTGTACCTGTTCTTTATTTTATCACTTATCACCCATGGGTGAGTACCAGCTAGACGAGTCTGGGCGCTAATGTAGCTCTTCAAGTAGTTGATAACAGCTACGTTATTGCGGTGGTTAATCTTCTCGTTCAAGTTCCACTTCTTCTTACTCTTGTTCTCAGCAACAAGAGCAAGGTCGTCAGACTCGAACTTCCAGTCCCACAACTTTTCCGCAAAGATTTTTTAAATACAGGTTGTTTAATAAGTTGTTGATACTAACATATATTAATATTAATTACCGAGATAATAACAGAAACCTTGGCATCACTGAGGGAGGTCTGGGGGACATAGGATGGCATCAGAGATGGTCCTAGACTAGCCATACGAGTCTGATCGTTGGCATAGGCAGTTGCAAAGTCTGCAAATACCGTATGTGTCTTTCCAGACGTGTCAACAACAACGCCTATCCTGTTTTTAAAGGTTGACATGTTGCTATTGACAGCAGCAATGTCATCCTTGACATCGTTGATACCGTTGTTTACTTTGTTAAACATTTCGACAATTTCCGCGTATTGCTGATCTTGGATAGTTGCAGATGAGAAACTGGGGGCAATTTCTCGAGGTGCAACACGGCCAGCCAAAACACGGTTTGCAGAGGTAGATATACTTGCAGATGCTTTTCCTTTTCCTTTACGGTCTGTTTTTCTGCTGCTATTGGAAGGCATTTTTTCTTTATTGTATTTTTATTAAAGTTTTATACATTAAAAAATTATTAAAATAAAATAAAAGTATGGGTTGAAATATATTTATTTTTGTTTAATCAAAGATATACATACAAAATAAGTTGATGTAAAGTAGATTTATGAAATAGCTGAGAAAAGGAAGGGTTTATATATTATTTTCTATAAAATCCTTTATAATCTTGAACAATTTCTTTAATATTCAACATAGAACTTAGTGCTACAATATAATTTCGGACTATTCATTTTATTACTATTGTATTTTACTAGAGTCAATTCTCATCTAAACTGCCTTCTGTTTGAAAGCCCACTTTTTTTTCTTCTTTTTCTTTATTTTTTTCTTATTTCTTTTTTTCCTGTTTCTTTTCTGCTTTATCTAATTTTATTCTGGTTGATGTATTTGAGTTCACACCCTGGTAAGCAATTTGTTTTTATTATTCTATTATTATATTTATTCTTAATGTTTTTTCTTTTATTACTATTGTCGTTGCTGATAGTATTACAAGTCTTTGTCGTGTTGATTAATAGACAAGAACAAAAAGATAAAATGCGGTTATTGTGTATGTGTTTCTTTATTAATTATTTTCTTTTTCTCTCCTCAGCTCCTCAGCTCCTCAGCTCATTAGCTCCTCAGCTCATTAACTCCTCAGCTCATCATAAAGACATACCAACAGCAGAAAGTTATCTGGTAAGTCTGAATAATGTATTTATTTATTTTATTCTTATATCTAATTTTGTTTATTTTCTATCTCTGTTAGTACTGCCAACATTTTTATGTACCTGATTGAATGGCTTGTCTTTGAAAACCGGTTTTCTTTGGTAAGTAATAAAGCCAAACTTTATTCCATGATCTTTACTAATGCGTTTCATTAAACCTTTCAGAACAACAGTTAATTTGCACTATGCCTGGTTTTGACGAAAGTACTGGTAAGTAATCATACTATTTAAATTAAAGAAAAATAAATATTTATATAATCTAATATAATTGAATAATTTTTTAGCCTTCTCTTACTAGTGAAATACCATAAACACGCATTTCTTTTTAGGATTCTATCGTATTGGAAGTATTTATATATTATAATATATGAAAAAGTTTGTTATTATATTAATTATGTAGTAGCCTATATATTAGATCAGACTATATATTGTCAAGCCGTACATATTATAAGCAAGAAGCTTTTTTTTTGAAATAAAAACAATTTTTCCAAAACAATCCCTATAAAAATATTTGAAATGAAGTGCAAGAAGTATTGCAGTAGTATGACATGTGTGAATCCTATAGTTTAGTCGTGTATAATTGTCCAATAAAAGTCTTTAGATTCGGAAGACAGTATACATAAATCCTGTTTCTTCTGTTAAATGATCCAATAGAATATCATTATTTCAGTAGACAGTTTTCTATCAAAAATAGATTTTTTATTGGAATCTCTGTTTCAAATCAAGTTTAATTTAATGTAACATCCAAAAAAAATGCCATAATTTGATTATTCTCTCTGCGATTAAATAGTTTAAAAGAACCTTACATCTCTATATGGATTATTATAAGTTCAGAAGTTACATGGACAACTCACAGGTAACATAACATATTGCGAATGGAATCTATAAATGCCAAATTCCAGAATTTAATTATTCTGTCACTCAGAATTTCCCATACTATTGCATATGTGTAGAAATCTAATTCCCCAGTGGCTCATTGGTACAGTACAGTTCTACTTTCAGCATGTAGATTTCTATGGCTTCCTACACTTTCTTGCTTTCATGAAAGTTATGAAGGAACATGACGCGGCTGGCCATGACTTATCAGTACCTATTGTCAAACAATGGTCACAAAGCACCCATACACTAGGCCACCAAACGCAACCAACTTATGCAGTTATAAGTGTAAATGACATTTGTCATCAAGTTAGTCTGATCTAATACCTATCGAATGGAAACCAGTTTTATGTAATTGCGCCCTATTATATCTTTAACAACAACATGCGCATTACTAAAGGCAATCTTTCCATTCTGTAATCCTTTTTATTTTTATCTTATTTTTCTATATGCTCTATATCCTTATATCTTTTATATTTTTTATATCCTGCTTGTATCTTATATTTTTTTTAAATTTTCTCTATTTCTTATGTTTTTTTTAATCTCTATATGCCCCATCTTTCTTTTCTTCTTTATATACTCTGGTTTTTTTCTATTCTCTATACACCTTATGCTTTTCTCTTCATTCTCTATATGTTCTATACATTATTACGTGATTTAAATAAAATCAAATTGCCAATTCATCAAGATAAAAAGAATATCTAAAAAAAAGAACGTAGTTTAAAAAATAAAAAAATGACAGTTATGTTACCATTTCGTTCACACATTCCAGAAATTATTAATCTTAATAATTGTTGACATCTTTGATATTCAATAAAACATATATTTCAATACTCAAAGTGGTCATTACAACTTACAAACATTTTTTACAGTATTGAAAATATCGTACAGCAACAAAAGAAGTCTTTTCATGTTACTTATTTAAATTGCTATCAATGACATTATCACCTTACAACAAATGGTGGAGATTTTATTGGGTTTCGACCAAAAAAATGGCAGTTATGTACCTACTTTCAGTCCAACTGCCATTCATCCCGCCGTAGTGAATTGGATAAAATGACAAACACATCCAATAAACTACTCACAGCTTAAATTTGGACATGCATCAGTTTACAAAATTGGATAAAACGACAAACACATCCTATAGATTATTCATACCTTGAATATGGATACGTATCCATTTTTATATAATATTGTACTTTAATAACAATACTAATACACTTCTTGATGAGTTTGAATAAAGATATATTTAAAAATTAAAGAGGTTATATTTGTAATGTGAAAGAAAAGAAAGAAAGAAAAAAAGAAAAGAAAAACAATAAATGGGAAAAAATTATTGATAATGACTTTGAGAAACCTCCACTACATGTCGAATGGTCTCGTCATTTACATCATGAATGAGACCAGCCATCCCCTTGATGGATTTCACATCCACCACCTTCTTGTCACCAATTGTAGTACTTTCCCACACTAGAAACATTCCCTCATTATTGTGCTGGATGCCACACAGATGGTCAACAATGGCAAAGAGTCTGGTTTCTCCTAAGACAGAGTAGGAGAAGAACTTGCAAACAAATCCATACCTTTTAAAAACAAATTTGGAACAAGATTAATATTATAACAACATAAAATATAGCTCATACAACTTACCCCCACAGATGTTTGAGCACAACAAGATCATTGGCTAGAACATGTGTGCTGTTGAAGGATGACTGGACTCTGTACACCACTTGATCCTTCCACATCTTACTGGTACAGACGACCCAGTTGGTTTCTTCAACCATTGACACAACATTTTGGCCCCAAAGATCTGCCAAAAAACAGACCAAAGTATGGTAGTTCATACCTGTTTTGCTTGCCACAGCAACAAGAGTTTTTCTGGTCGGATTTGACCAAAGCTGAGAACCAGCAACATCGTTACTTGCAGCCTCAAAGTTGCTGGCCCTCCTGTCCCTTGGTCCTCTGGTTACAACCTCACCACCAAGACAATGGTGTATCCCAGCCTTGCAAAACAGGATATTTTCCATGTTTTTTCCTGTTTCTTTCTGGGACCCTATTGCAGCTCAATATGCACTGATGGTGTGTTCAATAGGACGACAACTGTATGCCCTCAGTGGGCCCATCTCCCTCATCATATAACCAAGATGAATCAGCATGTGCTGGTTCATCACAAAAATTGTAGGTTTCATCCTTCCTTCTGTAATTTCTTTCCGAAGGAAGGAATGTCAGTGCCCAATAGCTCTATAAAGATGATTAAAACGTTGTTTATATAAATATTACTGACTTACTCTTCCATATTGCGGATTTCTGCCTCTGTCACCTCCCACTGCTGAGCAATGATACAAGCATCAACCAGGTCTTGAACAGCATTCCTGGTGCTGACAAGGACAAAGTTCTTGATTACTACTGCTGGCACAACAAACAGAAGGAATCTAGCCAGTTAACTGCCTTCTGTCTGCCAGTCGTTTCCTTCAGTGATCTCCAACTGCCAGTGAAGATCACTGGTATATTGGCCCTAGACTCGATTATCAATCTATCAATCTGGTTGAGTCTTACATTTAAAGTGAATATATACACTATTGATTGTTATTGCTGTTGTTGTTGTTGTTGTTATCAGATGTCACCTACTAAATGGGCTTTGTTGTTTTCAGTCCAGGAACTCACAGCAAACTTGTCACCCAATACCTTGTACAACTGATGTCCAATCCCATGGCCAATGAGATGCATCTCGTCAAGCCCGAAGAAAGCAGGACTTGCCAATGTATTGAGATCTCTGAAAACATTGGGACTGTTGACATCATATATCTAGAAAAAGGATATTAATATTTTAATTATTTGATAATGAAATACATACGTTTCCCTCGAACTGACAGAGATTTTCTATGGTTCTCATCGGGGCAGGCAGCTCATTGCCAGTAAAACACATGGTGTGAAGTTTGGATACATCCTTGGAAAGACAGGCTTGGCACCCAAAGAAAGAATTATGGTGGGCCAGATTCATCAAGTCTGACAAGGCTGGATTATTGCGAGTTGACATGACAAGATGAACTTTGACACTCACTTGCCCAGAATTTGTCTGAACTTTCAGACCAGAAGTTTGCAACATATGCAAATCTTCTACTATTGGTTCCAAAAAGGATGCAATATTCTTTAGGTGTTCAGGTCCAGGAATTATCGTCAGCTGCATCATATTGTCCCTCTTATATCTAAGCATATTTAGTTAGCAATTTTATATGGGGCGTCTTATATTATACCTTTTTTTGGGATCAATGTTGAGATTGATAAGGTGGACAACAGTTGCAGACATTTTTGAGTCATTGAAAGGGTTAAATTGGTCAACAAACATTGTAACCAAAATATCATTCTGACTAACAATACTACTCTGAACCAAACAGCGGACAGCATTATGGTCAAGGATATTGGATCTCATGGTACTAACATTATATGAAAGACGGTTTTTGCTATATTCCATCTTGGTGCATTCCTGGGCATTACCAAGCTTGAATCTTAATTGCTCAGAGAGAGGCACAACCTGGAAGGTCTGCACAGGAATTAAAGTGCCTCTCTCGCATTGGAATCGTCGGCTATTACAATGAGGGCACCACTCATTCTCATCTGTGTGCTGTCCAGCTTCTATGGCTTCAAAGCAGATAAACCTTTTTTACTCATGTCATGCGTGACAGGACTGACAGTATATTCTTGTCTTGGAAGCGTGTCCATCTTGTAGTAAGACATTAGTGAATTGATGGCAGCTAAGATGGTAGTAAGTTTACATGCTATAAATAATTGATATTGACTATATACTTACACAATCCACATTCTGTCATATACTTATTCATCATTTTCACACACTTGTCAGAAACATTACGAGATACATTGTTCTCAACAAACATAGAGAACAACTCCAGGCTAGCTGCTGCTGTCCCACTCATTGGCTCGTAATGAGAAACTCTAGGAGCCTCATCCAGTTCGCTTTCATTGCTTTCACTGCTTTCATACTGGCTTGGAAAATCCACATGATCTACAGTGTTACAAACATGAAAGTAACCACGATCAGACTCTTATGTATATATATTTGCGTGTGGTTAATATCGTTTTTTAGAAATTAAAGAGACTAGTTTAGTAGTTTCTTCTTCTTTTCCCTACCAAGTGGAGTCTCGATGTCTGTAGGCACGTCTTGGCCAAATTCAACATCTACATCCATTGAACTTTCTGGGCGGTTGGTGGTTCCCTCTGACACAAGCTCTCTCAGGTCGTATGCCTCATTACTATACAAGTTATCGTCATAAGCAAGAGCTGAGAAGCGTCTAGAAACATGATTATTCCATACTTGAATGCCTTGTTGATCAAATTCAGTTAAGTTGAAGACGTCTTCGGGATAGTTCATCGATTCAACTCTGTCTTTGTTGACACTATTTTCATATGTTTGTGTAATCAAATCATTGATATTCATTTTAAATAAAGAGGTCTTTTTTATGAAGAATTAGTTGGATGATAATATATAGTAAGAATGTTTTGAATATAAGTTAAGAGAAAAAAAAAGATCAATATAGATGTGAATTTATGTTTAAGTTTTTTATTATTTATTTAATACTGAATACGGTAAATTCATGCAATATATTACATGATTATGACTGCGGATAATAAGAAGAATTTTTTCTTGTGAAAATCGGATTTTATTCTCTTTCCTTTTTCAAATAAAAATGTTAACAATTTATCTCACAACACAAGCACGCCTGAAAGGTCTTGAAGCTACTGTTACCCAGTTACAGGCATGGGCTGATAGTTCTCAAGAGACAGGAAATAACATTCCTTTGGAAAACATTTGCCATTTACTGGCTGAAGAACAAGAGATAGGACAAGTACCTAATGATCAGACTCTTCAAGACATTGGACGTCCTGGTGGAAGTGTTCCTGGCAACTCTTAGAAACTTTCAGCCACAGCAATCCAACGTGCAATGGCCATATACCTGACTGAATGCGACGAGGCAGCTGCCTGTGTCATGTACAGATCAGCCTCAGGAATTATTTGTAGTCTCCTCAGGGCTGATTTTAAACTTTTCCATGATCGAGGAGAGAGTGTTCCATTGTGGAGTGATCTTACAAAGTTGCAAAAGAAGGATTTGATTAAAAACTTTGAGCTACATGCTTCTTTTAGAAATATTTATCCCAATAGGTTTGTAAGATCATAGGGAGCCAAGTATATAGTTTCTCAAAAGTGAAGATCTGCCAGACTTCGATTACCAAGAAACTAAAATATATATTCTTTGAAGAAAACATGTATTATTTAATTATTTTATTCTAACTCTCAAGTAGTGTAATTCTTTGAAGATAGCTGGTTATTCTTAAGTACAAAAGATAAAAATGTACACACAAAGATATACATAAATATATACTATGGAAATTCTATAGCTTAAACTGTTACTTAATAACATATGAATAAGTGCTCTCTTTATATACTTCTTTTTACATTTACTTTTGATTATTTTGATTCATAAAAACAATAAAAATAAAAACTATAAAATTCCAATATAAAACATTATGCATTTGTTGGACCAATTATAAAAAAAAGCAGAGGCACTAAAAATGGTATATATCTGCTATATTTGACACTTTTGATTGGATCAAATACAAAAATAATCTGAAATCCTATAAATTGTATTTGACTATGATCTAAAACCCCATAAATCATATTTGTCATAATCTAAAATCCTGTAAATCATATTTGACTTAATTGTAAATCCCATAAATTATATCTGTCAAGAAAGTAAAACTAATAGGATAAAATAGTCATGCTATTAGCTATAAAAGTTACAAGTTTGTAACTTGTTACAAGACCAGTATTTAAAAGACTGACTTTTAAATAGCAAAAGTTACAAGTACGTAACTTGGTACAAGGTCGGAGGTATAAATCCTGTCATTTCCTACAGTGATATCATTTTTGATCTGAGATATTCTTCTAATGCTTTACAGTACTTTTAACAGTTCATGTCACACATAATAAAAAATGATGTTGCAAGCCAATGACAGTCGATATCATCAGTTATTCAACATCAATTTTGTACTTTTTAGAAATCAAGTAGTGTTTTTAGAAATTATGTTGTGTATTTGAAAATAAAGTTATATTATAATAATATCTTGGCACACTCAAAAAATATAAAAGTAAACCATTTCATCTTCTGAGTTTGTTTTTTTTGGATTCTTCAATTGTTTAAAGTTTAACATGAGTGCAATATTTTAATTTGAAGATAGATATAGAAGTGTTGTTGATTAGAATAGACACTCTGAGCCCATATCAGTACTAAATGAAATTTTAAGATTCTGCCAAATCAAAGCATCATCATTACACTTCTTTTTATTTATTTTTCAAAGCCTTTCCTCATTCAAATCTTACCATATCTCACTAAAACAAAAAAAACTCTTCCCAAAAGAAAGCAGCTTTCAGATTATCAAAGAGAGCTGATAATTGGTAGTGCTATAGTAAATGACACAGCTGCTGAAATTTCTAAGAATAGTATACTTCTAGAAACAGTGTATTTCACAATCAATAGCTAGAGAGATACTGGAGCCACATTTTCTAATAAGCAAAAAAGAACTTTGAAGATAATAGATAAGTGAGATGAGTGTCACTTACTGGAAAAATGTGTTCACATACACATGTGTAGGAATTGGTATATCAATGTGTTTAGTTTAAAAATATGCATGGATTTGGGTGACCTGTAAACTATGGGCAGAGTATCTTAGACATTAGGTTCGTGACGAGCTGAACACTAGTGTGGTGTCAAAGCAAGGTGCCGCAAATATGACCAATTTGTATTCCCCATATGGTAATTACATATGTACACTATAGGCGTTTATGTAAAACTTATAGTTTTATTAAAATACTTTAAAGTGCAAGCTGATCCTGGATCTGATGGGGCTCTCCTTACTATAGTTACACATATCTTTGACACTAGAGTATAGGTACCTATACACTACTTTTTGTTCAAATATATCTAATCACAAAGGCCTCTTTATTGCTCTCAGCCTGTAACATACTCTCATAAATTTGATATCCTGTAATTATTGGGTTGTTTTGGTTTCATTTAAAGTTTATTGAAAAAGAATAATAGAATAATTCTAGGTTGATGGTCTTGTGATAGTATTATATATTTTGGCTACTTCTTCTGCGGGCTCCTTGATACTGTTTTATTTTGAGGATTGCTGCATAGAAAAAAGCACTAAAAAATAAAAATAATGGGATTTTTTTGCTAGGATGCAACAGCCTTTAAAAAATATGGGCAATATATTAATTATATAGTTTTGATAGTATACTTTTCAGTAATTTTTGCAAATCAATATATACTTAATATATACTTATATTGAAAATACTAGAAACAAATGAGTTGAACAAAAAGACACTGAGAATGTTAAACATGGCGTTTGTTCCGATTTTCTTTGACTATAAAAAGGATCAGAGGAAATTAATTCAGGTAAATTAGGCAATAGAATAATTAATTTACATACCTAAAGCAAAACAATTTATATGTAAACATCGATAGTACTTGTCAAGAGGTGATATAGTCTCTAGTAGAATATTGTATTATATTAATATACAGCATAAATAATATTATAATACATATAAAAAGAATAAAAGAAAAAGAAGACTTACCATATCAATGACAGTAACATGGGATGGTAGTTCTTGATGCATGGCATGTTTGAGAGAGGGTTGTTCATCTATAATAAAAGTCATATTTTCTTAAATAAATATAAAAAGTAAATAAAAATAAAGTAAAGTAAAATAAAATATTACCATTTTCATGGCTGTGTTTAATTGCAGAGAGTATTTTTGGCAATATGGCCTATAAGAAAGAAAAAAAAGTTAGAATAATTTTACAGGATGATGGCATAAAGTATATTTACTAACCTTGACTAATCCAGATGGCCATTGTGAAGAGGATGCATCAGAAGAAGTTAAAACACGAGTGTCTATGACAACATAAACAATTATTATCTTTTAGTTGTATGTATATATATAGTATTTTAAAGAGATCGTCTTACCAAAAAAAAACGGAGGAATATAAAAGTGTAAGAGAGGCAGAGTAAGTGTGTGCTTGCCTATTGTAGTGAAATGAATTAATTATTTTATTGTTTGTAAGGAAGTATTTTATTTTGCCAATAAAATATGTCTTACCAGAAAAACGCGTGAATATAATAAAAGTTGGAAAGAGAGAGAGAAAAAATGAATTCAAGAAAAAATGAAACAAAACCGAAATCAGAAAAAAAAAGAATAAAAAAGACAAAAGAACAAAATGGGAAATAGGAAGGACAAGATAAAAAAAGAAAAGAAAAGAAGTGTGTATGTTTGAACCAAAAAAGAAAAAAAACCAATTGAGTCCAAAAAGATAATATAATGACAGATTGTCATCCCAAAGTTACAAGAGGATATTTTTGATATATTTACAGTTCCATTTAGTATACTTATATAAAGAAGCTGTTTGGAATATCATAACACTTCTTGCTTACACACACACACTCTCTCTCTCTTCCACTTCTTCACTTGCTCACATACATACTTGCTTGTATGTAAGAAATAAATCATTAATTTTAAATCAAACATTGTGAATTAAAAGTTAAAAATTAAATAACTGAAAAATATACTTTATTTAATATTATAGATCATGACTGGAATATGCCAAATTGCTCCTAATTCATCTGATGAATACAAAAATCTTTTAGCCAAGATGAAAGAAATGGAGAAATCCATGGTCAATGTACGTGGTGAACTCACCACGATGCATAAAGCCATTTGTGCTGGCTTTGGACAAGGAAATGGACCCCAGACATCTGCTTCTGTTTCTCTTGATAATCCTTCCGTTGCTGCCAGTTCCATTGTCAGAATTCCTGCTGGTATTGCTTCTGAAATCAGCTGTGAAAACAAGGACAAAGTCTTTGTAAGTATTACTATATCCAATATTCTAACCATTAACCATTTTTGTTAAATAGAAGTTGATTCGAGGGTATATGCGGAAGGACAAATTTACTTCCAATAATCCTGCCCTTGTCAGTGCCAACAAGGCAAAGCCAAGGTGGGAAACGGATGTCTTCTTTAATAGAAGCCCTAACAAGGAGATCGTTGCCAATCTTCTTGGTTACCTGCTCCCAAAGTTTGTTGGGCAGGGTATAAAAACAAGCGAATTCTGTACTATGGTGCACACAAACTTCCGGAGCACAACTCGTAAGGACAGAGAAGATCCTATGGTGCGAGCTGCCACTAACGCTCGTGGAAGACGAGCTGCAAGAGAAACTGAAGTGAGTGTTGTTTTATATTTCATCCCAAATTTAACCATAGAATTAATATTAATATATATATAAAATTACAGCACTTCAACTGCCGTGTAATGGCATATGTGTTAAACAAGGATGTCATTGATGCTTTAATGAAGAGAAACTGTTCTGGGCTGATGATCAGATCAGCAATGTCTGAAGGCGAGTCAGAGGATGAGTTTCCTGGGAGACCTTGCAAGCGCATTGTAAAGGTTACCCGTCCTTTTTGGAGAAGTGATGAGGTAAATAATTTTGCAAGAAATAATTTTCTATATTTGAATAATATTTAACATATTATATATAAATATGTTTTTAGTTTAACAACCTCATCTTCAACATTGATGAGATTGTGAAAGAAAACTTGGGTAACGACATTCGCCAGTTGTTATACAGAAATCTTGCCAGCCTGTCTGAGAAACCAGTTCCTGATTGCTGTATCCAACATAATTGTAGATTCAAATAGAGCGCACAGACAATAAGACAAAGACATATTGAATAAGCGACCAGTATCAATTATACATTATTTCTCACACTATCATTAAATAAAGAATATACCGATAACAAGGTCACACACCTTAGTTAACATCACTAATCACTCAAACAAGAGCGTGGGTAATAACTTAACAATATATTATCTATGATATAAGAAAACAGACATCACATGATATACTCATATCATTATCCTAAATACACACGCAATGTCTATATAAACTCACATAGCAAATAGCAATAGAAGATCATCTCTCTTTTCATCAATAAACAAAGTCTCACCGTACTTCTCGTCTGCACTTTGTTTTTCTTTCTTTTCTAAAAATATAACACTGATGACGTCGCGTTATGTTTCCCTCCGTGGACCCTTAGAGATGGGCCACAATAAAAATAATAAAAATCATTGTTTATCTCATCTTATTTATTCTCATCTTCACAAACTCAATGCTGACGATTTATATAGAGATAGTAATTATTTTTCTCTGCGCTTTTTTGTTATCGTCATTTACTTTAATTTTTCTTTTTTAAAAAAGAAAGAAAAGAAAGAAAGGATATTTATTATTGTTTTTTTTTTAGCATAAAGCTTTTTTGGTAAGGCAATTACCAGTTTTTTTTGGACAAGTCCTGTTGTATAATTAGCAATTGCTACTTCTAAAGAGATTCTATGTACAGGCAAAATTGAATGATAGTTTGATGGCAAAGGTGTTGAACCACAAATATCAACTCCATCTTTCTCTTGTGATTTATCTCCAAGTAATGGAAGCCAGTTGACAAACGCAAATACATGTTGATCATGATGCGTGGAATCGGCTTCATAGTAGGGCAACATTGGAGGAGAAGTAAATGAATGAATGAAGATATACTTGATTTGACAAGTGAAGGTTGTTTCTTTACTTCCATCTCTGCCAAGAAACAATGATTGGACATATGATCCACGGCCAGTGGTGCCATTATTGCCATAGTACACTTGGCCAAGAATATTGATTGATTTCAACTTTATAATCGGATTGTCGACAAAGAATGGAGAGGCAGCAGCATTTTGATAATGGACGAGATCAGGAGTGAGGTACGCGAGTTTGTAGTATTCCAACAAATGGGGATAATCAAGATCACCCGTTGAAGAAGGTTTACTAACTGAAAGTGGGAAGGATGTAGGTGGGAGAGGTTCGTTGCCTAAGATAGAAATTCTGGTAGTTTCAGAAGAATCCACAAATGCTTGCAAAATGAATGGTGGCTGAAAAATTGTGGAGGAGGCAGATGGCTAGGTAAGGACAGGTGTGGATGAACAGACAAGTTTGGAAAAGACAGGAAGAAAGGGAGCTTGAGTGAGACATGTGAGAGCAGAATTAAAAAAATCACTTTTGTATATATCTTCAACAAAGCATCTCATAAATGTGGCTTTAAAACCGTTCTTGCCATTTGTGCTGATATTCTTGAGTAGGCTATTGTATCTCTCAAATGCAAAGAGCCAATAACTATACACTGGTCCAAAATCGAGAATAGTTTCTCAAATATGGAGGTGTAAGTGCATATTACAGGTAAGGATTGTGGCAGTGTAAATTTTGTTGCATTTTTCACAAAATTTTTCAAGATGTCTATGGGCGGTATTAATATCATCAAATGTAATGCTGGGCTTTACAAGGTGACGGCATGCATGGACAAAATCAACCCAGTTATTGAAATGCAAGGATGAGAGCACCGACTTCAACATCACAGGAGAATATATCAATACCCACGACTTCCACTCGTCCGCTTTCATAAATGCAAATTTTTTGCCAATTTTGCTTTTCAATGCAGTATATCCCTTTGGTACAATTATCTTATCAGCTATCTTTTGCATGGCAGTGAAATCTCTGTCTCCAAGAATACCACGTTCAATCCACTGATCCATCATTCTTTTTGCTGTCCCCAAGAACAGGTTGTGCATGGGATCAATGATCGTTCCACGTACTAGATCAAAGTATCCAAGGCAGTGCAACTGCGACCATCAAACATCATTTTTGATTTCCAGATGCTGCCTTTCTGAGATGGTAACTGCGTTCTTCCACTCCTCAGCATGCAGCCTATTCTCCTCACAGTTACGACGACACCACTCAGACTCTTTAAATCCACGGAAATCAACCTTGTTTGTGCTGTCAAGTCGAGTGAAATGACGGTTGCACTTAAAGCATGCGCAAGTGCTATTATGCGCAGTAAATTCACTGGTCTTTCTGGCAGCTGGGATGTCGCAGGCAACCATCATCAATGCAGCACAAATCACTTTGCCAGCAGGAGACTCGAATGTTGGGATTCTTACCCCACGATACAGCTGTATCAACTCATCTACCATTGGCTCAAGATAGTTATTTATCTCATCGGTTTTAGGCTCCTTGGGACCAGGCATAAGTCCTACAAGAATTACGTTCTTGGCTTTAAACCAGTCACTGCAAGACAAGTTGTTAATAGCCAAGTAGATTGCACCACAGGAGTATGTAACTTTATCAAACGGCTGGAACCAGTCGATATTGAGTGTCAGCATCAGCGAACAAGGCTGCTCAACAAATGAAGCACCATTACTATCCTTGAGTTCTTTCCAAACCACACTGTCATACACATCGCACATTGTGTCTACTAATTTTGGCTCTGTATTCTATTGACGTATCTTTTCTTCGAAGCCTGGACGATTAAAAAGAATCTTGAACGCATTTTTGATGGACTGGTAATGGAAACTACGCTTGGGAACCAAAGCACCAGACAAAGATTTCTTTGTCAATTCACAGTTACAAGCTGCACAAGCACCTGTCTTTACAAAGACGCAGCAAGGAGGAACAGATTGATTTTCTTTGTAAATTGCATGGCAATCCTCGCAGGCCACAAATCGTCTTATGGCCTTGGAGAGCTCACAGAATCCCGTCATATGCTGAAGACCAGGCAGACTCGTGGGAAGCTGAAAGTCCTGCTTGTAAATCTTCAAGAGCTTGTTGATGAACTCAATCAAGACAACTGCACCCTTGTTGACCACGTAGCGGGATGCAAATAGCACAGTGAATGTTGCAATGAATCTGTGTACAGGATTCTCAGGCATACTGCTGTTTGAAAACATGTCTATTTAAAAATATAAAAAAATATTAATTTTTTTGACTTTTTTTAGATTTTTATGACTTTCATACAAACATTCAGTGTCGACTTCTTCAACATCAATATCAACAGTATCTTTGGCATTCTCATTGCTCTCATACTCAAAGTCTATGTCATTGAAATCAACATCGACCTCATAATCAACTGACATAGGGGAGATATCCAAAACGGGTAAGTCAGACTGACATGCAAGAACTTCTACGGATCCAGATTCTTGGACTAAAATAGCTACAAATATGGAATATAATAAGAAAGTTGTTTTTTTTGATACTCAAATAAAAATGTCTTACACTTCGCATCAATGTTCATTACATGTCTCTGCGCACCTGTGTTTAATATAAAAGCTATTAGTATATAAAAATGCAAATTTTATATTATAAATGACATACCAAGTTCACTTCTGATAGCATCTTTTAAAGCTGCTTTCTTGCCATGACACTGGGCAGTTCTCTTTGACACTAAGGTGTATCCTTTATAATTTTTAATGCACTTGGTACAATAGCACTCTTCAAAGTTTTGTTTGATAGTAGAAGACATGACGTTTGTGTTTTTTTAATAATGAAATAAAAAGGAAACAGGTATTACATTTATCTATTTACGAAGACTTTATAGTTATAAATAAAATAACTTTTGTTGCTTGTTATATCTGAGCCAATAGAATGTAGTAAAAGCAGGTTTTTTTATTTGAACACAAAAAGTGGTGCTGAGATGAAATATACTCTACATATATACTATCACTGAATTATTTTGGCACTAGTGTATTTAGAGGTGTTTTTCCAGTAACTTTATTAATAAAATAAAGACAAATTGTGAGACAACACTTGGGGGTCTTACCACTCTCATGTCTGACAGCCTAGGACATCACATCTCCAAATCTACCATTTGTCAAACTATTTGTAGATCTGAATTATTGTCTTATAAAGTTGTATACAAGCCACTGCTATCAAAAGCACACAAGAAGATATGGTTGACATTTGCTAATCATGTCAGAGAGACTAATCAGAGATGTGATTGTGTCATCTGAAGTGATAAGTCAAGGTTTATGCTTTTCAGCAGAGATAGCAATACTAGAGTATGGCGGTATCCTCAAGATAAATGCAGAGAAGAGCTCTTTAAACCAAGACTGTAGTGTGGTAAAGACTTTATTATGGTTTGGGTGTATGTATGGGTAGGAGGAGTTGCTCATTAAAAACCATAAAAAACATACTTGATCAGTATGCATATATAGACTTAATGAAAAGGAAGCTTTTTCTATTTATGGAATCTCTTAGTGAGAACAATGATGAAGAGTTTATCTACCAAGAAGATAATGGTTGATTGAATGAAGATTTATGGGGTTTTTAAAGACAGATTTAAACTACCAATATGGATCATAGCTCTATGAGTTTTTAAAATTAAATCAATGTTCTTAAGCTAAAAACCAATCATTTTTTGTGTTCTATATATCTGTGATTTAATATCTTTTTATTTAAATTACTCTGCGAATATTTATCTTATAATAACGGCAAAACTGGATTAGGATAGCCTGAATTTTGTAAATATTAATCCATAGTAGTCACATTTTGGTACTGTTTTTTGTTGTGAAGATAATGCAGTTTCAAAGTTTATGTAAGAAAGATAACAAATATGCTTTTAAATTAGAGGCAATAGATTTCATTTAATAAATGTTTTTCTATTACATTTACTTGTGGTCCACTTGTTACAGTTATGATTTGCTGATGCAGAGTCTCTGGTTCTATTCTGGCTGAATGCATTTTGCACTTTTTATATTTCTTTAGTTGATTTTTTTAAGATATAAAGCTTATTTTAGATCTATTATTAGATGTAAAATGATGTTATTCTTTTGATATATTTGAATTAAAATGTATTTATGTTTTGTTTTTATATTATTATTTTAATATTATTAAAACAAATTAATTTAAATCAATATTTCTTATATTTTTTATTAAAACATTGTAGAGTCAGTATATTCTTCATCTTCATCATCTTCTAAATATTCATAATTTGTAAATATTGAGTTTTCAACAATGCTTCCAAAAGAAATCTCAGCTAACGTCTTTAGCATTTCTTGCTACAATCTGTTCTCATATTTTTTTCTCTATATGAATTCCATCAACATCTATGACACTATTTGTTTTGTTTGCAATCTGGCCTTGCAGTTTATTTCTATCGCATTCCACAGACCTATGTAGTAAAAGTTAATAAAATAATCTTAGCTTTTATAGTATTCTATCTTCTATAGTATTGATATGAATATCATCAGGTGTAACATACTCAACTTTGTAATTGATTATTCTATGAGTATAGTTCATATCAACCACCAATGTCAATCTCCTATATGCAGCCCAGCAATCTGTGTGAATAATGCTATTGGGCTTTACATACTTCTTTATTACTTGGAGAAGAGTTGCAGCATCTCTCTGAGGAACTATCACCAAAAATGGTTTTTGTTCTGCTGTTTTCTCAATATCCCCCAGAACCCAAACGCTTTCTACTCAATGTCCTCAGTGATATTTCCTCTTTCTAAATTTGCTTTCATCAATTTCAACAATAATAGATTGACTATTGGCATCAATACTTCCTATAAAAATATTTAATATATATATATAATTAACTCTTATAAACTTATCAATTCTCATATCATTTTTTGTTAAATCTATTTGAATCAACTGGTGAACACTAGCAATGAGATGTCATATAGTTTCTGGAGAAACATCAAGCATAACTCCCATTGTCATTCTAGGAATCCGATTTAACCAGTAATATATTCCTTGTATAACAATATCATAGGAAAGATGTCTTTGTGCAAAGAAAGAATCCAATCTTTTAGATTTTATTTCTTTTTTGCAACATGTTGCTCCTATACTGTTTAATCCACTGCATCTGTAACTGTAGCCTCTGTCTTTTTCAAATATATAGTCTATAGAACTGCCACTAGAACAAGTAAAAATAATATGATTTCTTAGATATAAGGCACCCTGTGCAATCAAATATCTTTATATATATTAAATATTAATATATAATAATTAAAAATAACTTTTTTACTTACTGTTTTGCAACTTCAGATATATATGTTGACGTCATAACATAGCTCAAAGGAGGAATAGATAACTGATAAACTGATAAAGAAGTTTGATTATCCATTTAAAAATAAATGAAGTAGAAATAAATGAAAAGAAAGCAAAAAAAACAAATGAACATAATATTTAAAGGGGATCTATATGGACATGCAAGGAAAATTAGGGTCGGACATGCAAAAAAACACTAAAAGAGAGAATTAAATGTGACGTCACTTGTAATTGGCCTTTGGGAGTGTTACTGACAAATTGAGCACTGATAAGATATGCAAAAGCAACCAAATTAAAGAATTAAACGTGACATCACTTATAATTGACTTTTAGGAGTGTTACCAACAAATTGGACACTGATAAGACATGCAAAAGCCAGCAAATTAAAGAACTAGACGTGACATCACATATAATTAGGTTTGCATGTTACACGCATTTTTTTGGGGGGTCAGCCTTGATATTTGTTAAATGTTTCAAAATTAATATTGATTTTAAAAATATAAAAAATGATAATGAGATAGATATAAAGATAAAAATGGAAGATTGTAAAGAAGATAAATATAGAAATATAAATAAATAGAAAGATAATAATAAATTGCATAGAAACAGAAGGGAATATTGATAATAGAGATAAATATAAAATCTAAAAAGTAAAAAAAAAAATCTAAAAAAGATATATACAAAAAGTTAGTATAATTCAAGATAATTCTAGTTTAAAAGCCATACCTTGATTGTTAGTACATCAAAGAATAATCTTCAAGGCCATGTTTTTGAATTATCCTTTTATGAAAGGGGTTGATTTTTGGTCAGCAGAAATTTCGAGTGTTTTTGCGCTTGGCAAGAAAAAAGTGGTTTACATCTAAGATAATAATTATTGGTTCCACTTTTTCTGGCAAGATAGCAAATGGAACAAAAAGACAGTTGCCTGTTTCAATTGGAGTATTCTAATATACAGTCACTGCTCTGCTAAATGTATCGGCTACAAGTTGAGGATGGTTGATTGTACCGAACCAATATTGCTGGGGGAGAGGTGAGTGCTTGTCTTGGAGACTGCGAATTAGTGGGTTATTGGATGCAGACATATTGCCATGCTCTATTCTTCCGTGGTAATAGTTATTTTGGTGCTTTAAAAATGCTTCTAGCATTTTGTCTTTTACTTTTGATCACTCCTCCTGGTCCTGGTACACTTCCATTGCTATCGCCCTGTACCCACAGTTTCCATCTGCTTCAGAAGAAAAAATTGTTGATATATGTTTTGGTGCGATTGTGAGATTTGTTAGTAATGTGGGATTGCATGGTAACCCAAGGTTGATAATATTTTTTATGGCTTTTTGCTCTTTAACTGAGGATATTTTTTGCCTAGAAAACAAAGCAAAGATTTAGTAAATTAAATCTAAGCAATATTAAAATCTTACTTTTTTTGTTCTTTTTCTGTTTTAATTTTTTTTATGATTTTTTCTTTTTCAGTATTGATGCAATGCTCTAATGCAATCATCTTGCGCTTGGTATTTTTTGATCGGCCTTTAATGGCTTCAACTACTGTTGGGCCCTTAAGGTTTTTGAGTTTCTGTGCATCGATTTGTTTCAAAGTTTTTTCTATCAATTGGTATATATTGATTTGTTCTTGTTTGCTCTGAGCATTGGCAAAATATTTGCAAATAAGCTCAAGAACATAGTTGAATTCTGGGGTTATTGGTTTGATATTGTTGGTGTTTGGGAGTACTGGGGTTGCATTTTGGATAGTTAAATGGTCTACATAATAAAATGTTATATGAGAAAATTGTTACATAATTATTGCTATTATTATATATATTACTTTCTCCTTCTAGATAGTTTTTTCTCCAGCATTATGAGATGCAGAAGATTGGGATGGTATTGAATTTGGCAAGTGTGTGGTAACAAGGAAGCAGGTAGTTGTATTGTATGAGGCATTTGCACTCTTTGGCTAGTTTTTTGGGTATATTGGATTTAGATAATTCTAATTTGATTTGATCCATTGCAAATCTACAGACTTTAAGACGGATGTCATTTAGTCTGGCGGCATTGACTTTATTGAACACAATTTTTGTTCCTTCTCCAAGGCTTTCCACCATTAGCCAATGCTTGCGATCTGCAACCTGTACAACTTATAAATATATTATAACCAATAAATGCATAAAATAGTATAGAATAAACTTACCAACTTGTCATACCACTTTTTTACTTTAAGGGTAACTGTCTTCAGTTTACCCAAGGAAGTACCAAGAGAATGCTTGAGAGAAGCATGGGTACTTTCTGCACTGTTTGATATGCGATTGCCAAAATGGGCATGTTTGTAAACATACATGTTCACCCAGTTTTCCTTGTCTTTCATTTTTCTGATAAAGTATATTAAAAAAACACAATTTTTTATAGTTAAATACTGTTTACATCAAATTTAAAAAAATTATATGTACTTCTCAAGAAAAGCACTAGTAGCTTTTCCCTGGTCTTTACAATTTTCCTTTACAAATTCAAGGTATCCATTTGTTTCGTTTTTTACTTCTTGATGTGTAATGCATTTTAAAGCAATTCAATCAAGGAATTCTGACAGCTTATCCAACAGGTCTCTCTTTTTGCTACTCTCGTCTCCCTTCATCATCGGAAGCAATTGCTTTTTAAAGCTGTCTTTGATATGCTTATAGCACAACAACTGCTTTGACTCAGAAAAGACTCGAGTAATAGCATTTCTCAATGCTTTTTCATTGTCCGTGATGAAAACATCTGGGAGAAGTGCTGTTTGTTTGTTGTTGCTGCTGTTGCTGTTGTTGTTGTTGTTGTTGTTGTTGTCATCGGGCCAGACTGCATTGTGGAGACAGCTAAGCACCCCGAGATAATTTTCTTTTGTCTCATGCTCTACCAAAGCACTGGCAATTGGATACGTCTTTAAAGTGGTATGAGGGTTTCCACTCACATTGCTAGTACCAACAATGTTGACATAAGTCATTTGATGACTATTTGTCTTATATGTGGCATCAATAATGACAGTCTCAGGCATTCTTCGTGTCTTATTGATTGCATCCTGATGCACTAAGAAGACCATATTCACTTGATTGTCTTCTGTATTACTGACAGAATACCTGACATGGAAGTCAAGATCTTGTAGAGTGGTGATAAAGTCAAACATCTCCTTTCCTTTTCCGATTTTCCAAAATGTTGCTTTATATTAGCAATGTCATGGCAAACAATATTTGTATATCTATTTATCTTCAAACTGTTGAAGATAGTGGATATATCGTCATTGTTCTCCAGATGCTTAACCACAAGTGCCATTGCCTCAGGCAAGAGCTTGCAGTGCATAGCATATACTCTGTGATCTTCTTTGATAGGGTGGTTATGCTCTGCCTCACGGAAGCGCACAGTGACCTTTCTGCCCTTCTTGGTGTTGGCATACATGAAGCAAGGGCAGCCATGCTTCTGCGTGTCTTTTTCGCGCTTTCTCTCCCATCTAGGAAGAGTTTCACCCATAACTGATGTTTTGGAAGCAACCTTCTTAGCTTTTCTGGTATCTCTATATTTGCCAGAGTGCTTGCAAATCAATTTGATGCAAGAGCTTGATGCATATTCAGTAGTGAGAGCAATGTTATGCTTGACACCATATGCCTTGGCAGCTTCTCGAACAGCTACAACTGAAAAGAATTCTCTTCCAACAAGAAAAATTGAGTTGAACTCAGTCAAGGCAGCATTGTACTTCTTTGATGTCTTGCTAACAATGACAAAGTTGTTGGTGTTATTGATGTTGTTAATGTTGCTCATGTTAAATGTCAAAAAAAATTATGTGCTGATGTTGTAGTAAAAAAGGACAGTGATTTAATTGGCAATCTGGAGGGTAATTTATCTGATCCCCCCAAAAAAAATGCGTGTAACATGCAAAACTAATTATATGTGATGTCAAGTCTAATTCTTCAATTTGCTCGCTTTTGCATATCTTATCAGTATCCAATTTGTTGGTAATACTCTCAAAAGTCAATTATAGGTGACGTCACGTTTAATTCTTCAATTTGGTTGCTTTTGCATGTCTTATCAGTGCTCAATTTGTCAGTAACACTCCCAAAGGCCAATTACAAGTGACGTCACGCTTAATTCTCTCTTTTGGTCTTTTTTTGCATGTCCGACCCTAATTTTCCTTGCATGTCCATATCATTGCCCTATTTAAACAAAATAAAAGGCATCAAAAAAACTTTTCTGTGACGTGGTACATGACTAAGCCACACAACCTATATTATTTATAAGATTATAACACTTAAAATAGATACTATAAACTTTATAATTATATTCTCTTTATCAATTTGTAACGTTATGTGACAATCAAACTGAATCTATATAGCTTATTGTCACGGCATTGTTTTACATATATGCACGTCACACGACGTCACAAATTGATAGAGAAAACAAACTTTAAAATAAATAATAATAATGATTTAAATATGTTATATTTCACTAAATATTTTTATGTCTTTTGTAGGAATTGAACTGGTAATCTGCAGATTGCTTTATGACACTGTAAGCAAATGGCGGAGTTTGTATTCGGAGCTTTAAAACCCATAAACTTTCAGAAATCCAATTATTTTCTATTCAGCCTTGGCTACCATCAGAAAAAATAATAATAATAGAATATAATTTTTCTAGAATTACAAAGAATTTTGCATCGTCACCGCAATGCCAGACAACCAAAATCATGTTACAAGCTGACTATTTTAACAGCACCCATTATCAAACAAAAGTGCCCAGCTAGCTTAGGTTAAAGATTATGTTTTATTAAAGAGATATGTTGCTGGCAATCTATAGATCATATAGCATCTCAAGTACAAAAGAAAAAGCAAAAAAAGTCTAAAAGGATTACAAAAAGACAAAAAATAGAAAGAGAAGAAGAGAACTAACATTAATAAGCTGAAAGTTATACCTTACTCTCCACTTTGCAGCTGTGTAAAAATGCGGTAACAGTGAAAGAGAGGAGATAAGAGTTCAAGCAAGCAGCTGTTTATGTGTGAAAAGATAAAAAATGAAAGAAAATTAGATAGAGAAGAAAAAAAGACAAAAAAAATAAAAATTAAAATGAAAAAGAAGAAAAAAAGAAACTAGCTAAGTCCAGCCCAAAGAGTATCAAAATGAGTTTCATGAGTGTAGTCACCATCAGGATTACAAAGCTTGTCAAAATGCCAGAGAATAGTAAGTAGTGCTACCTAATAAGAGGGACAAGGAGCCTGACTAGAATTTGGGAGAGCAGTAATAGCAAAATCAATTGGATTATAGTTTTGATCAGATGGAATAGGAAGACAGGCCAACAAATGGCCAGGAACCAAAGAGCAGACAGCAAAATGATGACGTGAGGTATGGTCAGTACCACAATAGCAATTCTTAGGACTGCTAGGCAACCAACCCATTCTTCAGTGGACAAGGCAGCTACGTTCCACCCTAGTTACAGGCAAGAACAGAATAGGACTGACTTCCAAAAGAGGGTGGCATGCTAGGAACAAGACTTGGTTTGAAGACAATCGGAACTGATCAGTTTTGAACTGTTAAAAGGTTTCGAAGTGATGTTTGAGAGCTTTGCCACTATAAACATTTAAATCAATAGAGATGCTTTGAAGGAGAGTATTATGACGAAGAGTGACAAGTGATGAAGACTGAGAGTGATGACGGTGAAGAAGAAACAAAAGGCAGCCAGAGGGAAGGTAGTGAGCACGAATACAAAACTTAGTTATCAGCACATCAGCACGGAAACTCATACTAGGGAGGTGACATATATGTTTAAGCACAGTTGTAGATGAGGTGTGATGTCCACCAACAATTATGTGCAAACATTTATCTAGGATCTTCTCAAGCTGAATAGTATCAGTTCTTTTCAGAGGGAGAATAGTCAATCCATATTCAAATTTTGGTCTGATAAAGATCCTATACAGACGAGAGCTGAGAAGCAGAGAGAATCCAGACTGGCATGCTCCAACTGCATTCAGTGTTGCCATGGTTGCCAGGGCTCCAGAACGACAATGAGTGACAATAGAAGGCCCATAAATATCTTTATTGCGAAAGGGGACACCAAGATATATGAATTCCTCTACTGCAGGAAGAATCTCATCATATATTGAGAGAGCTGAATGGTTGGCAGAACGAGAAAGAGGGTAAATGATAGCACATTTAGATGGACTTCAACGAAAACCAAGATCAAATGAGTGTTGGGCAGCCAAATAAAGCATAGTCTGGACGTCACAAGCAGAACCAAATATTGCCGCATCATCACCAAAAATAAGTGTATTTATTGGCGTTGATAAGACTGCGTGCTGATAGCAATCCACACCTGAAGGAGCAAGAAGAGACTGATATGCATCCAATGAGGAGGGAGACAATGATGATACATAGGTAGAAGTGAGAGGAGATGTAACTGTGCAAAGGAGAGCTGGAAGGGAGTTGATATAAATGGAGTAAAGATAAAGACGAAGGACTGAACATTGAAGAATGCTTGTCTTGGGTGAAAATGAATGTGAGGCGAAATTGCCAAGAAGAACTGAGATAAATAAATCATCAAACATATGGACCAAAAGTCCAAGAAGAGCAGATGATATGGATCGTCTGACAAGGGCATTCCAAATGACACGTCTATCCACAGTGTTATAGGCAGCTTTAATATCCAAGAAAGCAACAATTGGATTGTGGTGATGACAATGAAAATGAGCTTTCATCAGGTTGTGTAAACATAGAGCTTGATCCAGAGCACCACAACGAGGATGAAATCCACCTTGAACTACATTCAGTAGAGGAAAGAATTTATGCAACTCAGGAGCAAGACACATCTCAAATAATTTACGAATTACAGAAGTGAGAGAAATTGGGTGGTAGTTTGCAGCATCTAAAGGGTTACCCTTTTTGAAAATGGGAAACACTTGTGCTTGACGCCAGAGAAAAGGAGTATATGACCATTGCCAGCAGATAGTAAAGAGACAGGCAAGAAGAGGTGAGATGTGAGACCGAATGGGCTTTAGCATTTCCGCACAGATGTGGTCAGGACCCAGTGCCTTGCGGTTAGGCATAAATTGCATGCTGGTCCCCACCACTAGTGAGGTAAATGGCAAGTCAACAGAGACAAAAGGCATGAGAGAGGTGTTGAGTGGTGGTGGTGAAGATCGAATATCAGGAAGTATGTGTCCACTATAGACTGATGCGAGATGGTCACACATAACTGTTGCTGCAACTGCTGAGCCATCATCATGCTGAAATGAGTGCTGTGGTTGCCTGCGCCGTTTCAACTGCTTTATCTTGGACGTGGCCTTGTTTAAATCTGAGTTCATTGAGTGGCAAAAAGCATGCCAAGACAAATGCTTTGCAGTTTGAACTTGCTGACGAAACTTCTTATGTGCATGTTGGTGCCGGCTCCAGCAATTGATCTTGTCAATGCCACAAGCTCAACGCCATTGCTTGTAACAGCCATCTCTATGGCCGGCTGCAGCTTGCAATGCAGGGGTCCAAAACGATTTCCAATGTGAGGGGCGAGGGGGGCAAGAACCAATGGAGCTACTAAGAGAGTCATAAATGAGTGTATTGAAAGAGTTAGTAAGAGCATCAATGGGTAGACATATAGTTGGCAGATTCTGAACAAGGTCTTGTAGTGTGATGAGAATGGAGGCGGATTTGGTGACAAAGGTGGTGACATATAATGATCTGACATCTTCTTCATAAAGACATGACAGATTCCAAGTTTGGTGCATAGGTGGAGGTGCTGGTGGTGAGTGTTGCAGGTCATAAGTAAAGGAAAGTGAGAGAAGTTGGTGATCAGAGCCTAAAGATAGTTCGGTTGCAATGTGTAAAGAAGGGTTGGCAAAGTTGATGTTGGTGATAAAAAGGTCAATGATGCTGCTGATTTCAACTTCGTTATGAAAGGAAATGTATGTGGGTGTGCATGGTGAGAGAACTCCATTGAGGACAGTTAAAGATTGTTTTTCAAGCCATTGCTCTAAAGCTACACCATGAAGGTTAGATGCATAGTCACCAGTTACTGAACCAAGGCGTGCATTAAAATCTCCACATATAATGGTATCATCAGTTAAAGGAATGGCTGAGAGGATATCAAGAGCTTCATGAGTGGGCATAGAGGATGGTAAGTAAAGGCATATAAGTCGAAAGGTACCAATCTTGACAGCAAGAGCATAGTTGTTGGGTATAGATATTTGTGTGACAGTATAAGGACAGGAAGGAGAGACTAACAATGACACCCCCATTGATCTGCAGTAGTTGCCAGCAACAGGAGATCCATAGAGATGAAACTGAAACCATGAGGTTGGAAGACGGGCTGGGGATAAGAGTCATGTTTCAGTTATAAAAAGCATATGAAGAGATTGACAGTGATTGAGCACGTCTTTGATTGCACGAGGTTGAAGTCCATTGGCATTTCATAATCCTTTTGAAAGGTCATTTATTCTATCATAGCAGTGAGAGCATCAAGAGCACATTTTTTGTTTGGAGCATCACCAAAGTTTTTGAGCTATAGGACGGGCAAGAATTTCCTCAATACCAATCCATCCTGATTAGACAAGGAAGTGTGCAACTAGAAGAACAAGGTGAGGACGCAGAAACTTAAGGGCCTGAATGCAGCAAGCATTTTGAAGAACCAAGGTCTGGGTTTCCAGACCAGAAAGAGACAGATTGACAAACTTGGGATCAGCAGCATTCTTGGGGTCAAGTGGATCAAAGTTGTTGACAAGAGAGACCTTGGCTTGAACTAATTATGACTTAAAGTCCTCAAGATACTGCACATGAACAAGAATTCCAATCACTCCACAACCAGGGAAGTTAATGTCCAATAGACGGCCAGTGTCAACACCAAGAGTGCAGAGAGAACGGCGCACTTCACTGTGTGTAATGTGGCGTGAGCGAGAAATATAAGCATATTCAAAACCATCAGGATCAGTTTTGTCAGAGAATAGTCTTTGAGAGGCAGCAACCTGGCGGGCAGAAGGAAGTCAAGGTGTCTTGGCTGGCAGAATCAAGCTTGTTTTGGTAGCCCAAGTGAAGGCAGCAGTTCCAAGATCTGCAGTTGACTGGGGTGCAGGAAAAGAAGCAGAGCTGGGAACAGGACCAGTCACATTGTTTTGCAACAATTGAGATCAGAGATTGGCATTCTCCTGCTGGACATTAGATAATTGAGCATGCAATTGGACATTTTTAGCAGCAAGTGATTCCAAATGTACTGTACGTTCGTTAAGTGCACTGAACTGCGACTGCATACTGGTTAAAAACGTCACAAGCTCGGCTGGCAGACTTTGCATGCAATTAGCAGACAACAATTGTGACATGTTTGGTGATGATCTTGAGATGGTGGCAATCGGCAGAGAAAAAGTGAAAACCGGTAATAAAATGGCAGGAATGATATGAAAAATATTTTTGACAATGAATGCGGTGGTGGGAAGGATAGATGCGTCATATTTGACAATGGATGCAATGATTGAAACAATATTTTGGATGGATTAATGATAGAATTATATAGATGCAAACTATAAAACCCCAAAATTTATAAAAGTAAGCTTACGTGAAAGTGACGTGTGATGTGTTTGTTTGTTGTGGATTGTAACAGTATCACTTGGCAAAAAAATGTAATGTGAATTACGAAATACAAGAAGAAGAATACAATAAGAATGGAAAAGAATAGGTAATTTGACAGGTAAGAATTGGTGACAGACAGGTAGAAAAAATAGGGAGAAGATTAAAATGGAAATTGTGACAATGACAAAGTCTGAAAAAAACAGAAAAGGGAAAACAGAGGAACAAAATATATCAAAATCGACAGACAACACTCCAAAGAAAAAGGACACTATGTATAAATGAAGAATAATGATAATAACGGGCAAAAATAAATAAGATAAAGGATAGAATGATGATTTTATTGATTGAAAACGTTGTTTCTTTTATAAACAAAAATGTTTAGTTAAAATAATTTTTTGAGAAAAAGAAAAGAAATTCAAGTGAAAATTTTTACTATATGTAACTGGTGTTGATAGTAGAAGTAGAATAGAAAATTATAGAGAAAGTAAAATAAAGGTATAGTAAAAATATAATAATTGAATAAAGATAAAGTAATAATATAATAACGATGTAATAAAGTAAAGTAAAAAAATATAATAATAGTATAATAAGAGAATCTAATAAAATGTAATAATAAATAGTGTAAAATAAATGTCAGCAATAAAGAAGTGTATAAAATTAGGGGAAAGAGGTATAATGTTTTTAATGGGTGACAGGTGTTTCTGAGGTGATGATGTAGATGGGTATTTTAATTTTAAGGAACGGGATTATATTGGGGGGTTTGGGTATAGGGGTATCGGGAGCAAGATTTCCCAAGAAACCTGGGAGGACCACTCTTGTCCCTCGAGACACGTCACTCGGTCGACTCACCGTCGACGTCAACGCCCACAAGTCCGGTACTGCCCGTCATGGCTCACCACCGGACCAAACCACCAAAGGAATGCACCGTCCGGTATCCCTCACCAGAAATTAGTTAAAGCCTGAGTTGTCTACAACACACGTGAAAAAACAGAAGTGCCCGGCTAGCTCAATCGGTAGAGCGTGAGACTCTTAATCTCAAGGTTGGGGGTTCGACCCCCCCGTTGGGCTTTAACTGTGTGTTTCAGTTTTTTGTTTTTGATCTGGTCTCAGCTGTAACAGTGTCGGACATTATTTTGATGAATCTGTAAAATCTGAAGATAGTTAACTGCAGATAATGCACAGTATTAGTTTAGAAAACTATATGACAATTCAATTCATATCAATAAAAGATGTCTTTTATCCTCTCTTTGATTTTACGTATACTCCTTGATTCCCAGTGGGTTTGACCTTTTGACTTTGTTATAGTAAAAGGAAGACCAACCCAGACCGGGAACGACAACAGTATGTTGTGCTTAATTTTGGTGATACAAGTTCTAGTGACTTGTTCTTACAAAAGAAGCAGGAATTAAAATGATTATTTATCAGTTTGTAATTTTAGAAATTTGTAATCAACTTATGATAATTTGTAATATTACTAGACACTACTTGAGTGTCGTCAAAGATGAATAATCATTTCAAAAAATATATAAGATAACCCAAAGCAAAATAATAAAAATCATCTTTTTATCCTCTCTCTTATTTGCTTACTCCTGTGTTATTAAAGCTTGACCAATTCAGCTACGTTTACAGTGAATTGGAAAATAGTCTAGATCAGAAATGACAAGTACTTCCCCATATAAAAAAGCAAGTCACACATCTCAAAGTATTTCATTTTATATGAATAATTTTTTATTATGCGTATTCTCCTTAATATTTTCTCTTAAAAGTCTCATCTCTTATATAAGCTAAAAATGTCAATTTTTAATATTGCCAATGATTACAAAAATTGCATTGTTTCTGATTACATAGATTCTATTGACTTCTTAACCCTTTCATCTGAAGATGAGTCCACAAACTGGTTGAATAAAGTAGCAAGAAAGCATATCAATTGGATTTATCATCAATCATATAACCATAACAAAAATAGTGTTTTTATTGGGTTGTCTCTCAAAGAGTCTTTAAAAGTAAAAACAATTGTATACTTATGTGATCATACTGGAAAATCTAAAAAAAAACATCTTCCTTGCAGCAAGTTCAGAAGTGTGTTAGAACTACAAAATCTATAAAAATTGGTTGCCCAGCTGACATATACAAGCATGCTATGACTGATGGTACAATTCATATCAAGTATACACTGGAAAAATAACAATAAATACACACGGGAAAATTAAGGCATACTATTGTGAATATTCCACATTTTACAGTAGGGTTTTGCCTATTTCCACTGGTACCAAAGCTGATCTGGTTACATGTGCACAGACCTGCTATCTACAAGTGTAAAGTTTGATAGCACTAGTGAAGTTAGAGTTAATAGTAATTTTATATCTTTGTATATAATAGAGTACCAAGAACACTTTATTTCAAATTTTGTTTTTTGCTGTAATACAATCTGTTTCCATGTTAAAGGTTAATAATCAGGGACTATGTTGCATGTGTATTATTGAACTATCCCTGGGTGAATAGTTAGAACCATGGACATTTTATTGCTTATAAGCCAATCATTAACACTCTTTATTATGAGGTCATAGATTATCTGCTCCCCCAATTACTTGATATTCAATTATTATTGGTTTGAATTATAGTTTATTTTTGTATTTATTAGAAAAAATAGAATGATTCTAGGTTGATAGTATTGGAATAATATTATATGCCTCGGGCCGTCTTCACCAGTATCCTTCATATGACTCAAATCAAGCAGTGCTTTATATATAATGTTTGTAAACCCTCATATTCAGTAGTTATCTTTGGCACAGATACTATTTAACATAATAAAAGAGAAGTTAAATGCGTATTTAAATATCTACATGTTGTGATTGATATATTGATTTGAGAATACATACAATATAATGACTGAAGAAGATAAAAATAAAATTTTGAGAGTTTGAGGCATGGTGTCAAGTATAATTTCTTTGACAATGAAAATAATATAGAGAAGTTAGTTTGAGTGAATTTGGTGACAGAATATTTAATGAAAATATCTGAAGAAAGTCAATTTATTTGTAGACCTAGATAGTATTTGTCAAGAGTTGATATAATCTTTAGTAAAAAACATATATTAATATACAGTATAAATAATACTATCATTCATATTAAGAGAATAAAAAAAGAAGTCTTACCATGTCAATAACGTCGCCAAGAGATAGAGGTTCTTGATTCATTGCGTGTTTGGCAGATGAACATTCATCTGTAATAAAAATTATATTCTGTCAGATAAATATTAATAGTAAATAAAAAATAAAATATTACCGTGTTGATGGTCTTGTTTAATTGTAAGAAATATTTTTTGGCGATATTGTCTATAAAAAAGAAGGGGAAAAGTCAGAATAATTTTTATAGGATGATGACATGAAGTATAGTTACTAGCTTGGACTAATCCAGATGGCCATTGTAAAGAGAATACATCAGAAGAAAAAAAACACGCTAGTATCTATGACAGCTGAAATAATAATTATTATTTAGCTATATTTGAAGAAAAGAATTATTTTAAAGAAAAAGAACATATGTTACCAAAAAAGTTTGTAATTATAGTAAAACACTAAGAGAGTATATATGTATCTATAGACAACAGAATGTGTTAATCTTGTTATTGTCTACACAGAAGTGTTTTTAAGAAGAATGTATCTTACCAGTAAAATTTACAGTTATAACAAAAATCAGAAAGAGAAAGAAAAGAAAAGAAAATAGTCGATAAAGAAAAATATGGAAAAATACAAAAAAATAAGTAAATAAAATACAAAAAACAAAATAGATAATTAAAAAAAAATGAAACTCAAAATAAAATATCCAAAAATCATAATAGATATAATAATGTAGTATCTAAAAGCAATCTTTGTATCAATTTACACAGTGTGTGTACAAGAAGTTACTTTAGATATATTCTTTTAACCAAGATCAATCAAGACTAGACATCTTTTTTTTGGAAATATAAATATAAGTTTTTGCTACAATCTTACTCACGCTTGCTCACGCACTCTTACGATTATTCTTACTTATACTCACACTTTCTCTCTCTATCTCCCTATCTTTTTCTGTCTTTTATTTTGGTATGTTTGATAATAAATATAATTGTAGTATATAATAGAAATTTATTCAAAGAATATAAAAACATTAACAGTTAATACATATTTGAACTTATATTTTTATATTAATAGAATATGTCTAACTAAAATGAAAGCTATTCCACTTGACACACTTCTGCTGAGAGAGAAATGACAAACTCTCTTGCCATCTTGCGTCATGACATGACTACTGTCATGAAAGACGTTACTGATATCAAAGCAAAAACTTTGAACACTCCTGTATCTGCTGTTTTGCAGAGTCAGCCGATGGCTTTAGTGCATGCTGTTGCTCCTGTGAGCATGGAAATGAATATAGCTGGTTCTCCTACCATGGCTTCTGATGCAAAATCAGGCAACAAAACAAAAGCCTATGTATGTATCATACATATAGTAAATTATATCTTTAATAACTTACCAAGATTCAATAGAGACTTCTTCAGGAGCATTTGTGGGACCCTAAGTTCAAGTCAAAACATTTGGCTGAAATTTAAGTCAACAATGATAAGCCAAGGTGGAACATGGCTGTAAACTTCAACCAGTCGCCAAACACTGAGTTGACAGAAAACCTTGTTGCTTACTTGGAAAGAAATTTCGTAGGAGCAGGACTGAGAAAAAGTGATGTTCATGACTTTGTCTACACAAACTTCACTAGCAGAAAGCATGCAGCTAATAAGTCTCAGGCTAAAAAAAAGTCAGACAATGCTTGCAACAGAAGGAGTAGCCGTGAAAAGGAGGTAAGTTATACTTTATTTATTTATTATTTGAATAATTCTTATCTAAGTCATTAATTTAAAGCAAAAAAAGAAAACTAATTTAATATTTTCAACAGCACTTGAAACGTTGCAAAACAGCGCATCAGTCTAACAAGACTGCTATTGATGACAAGATGAAAAGAGATTGCTCTGGTCTCATTATAGAAGAGGCTATGTCTGTTAGTGAGTCAGACAATGGCACTTCGCCTCATGTTTCTTATAGTGGGCTTCGTCTTCATCGTCCATATTAGAGAAGTGATGAGGTAATTAGTTTTTTGAAAGTTGAAATATTGAATTTAGTTAATATATTATATTGTATTATACTGAATAAAATATTAATGTCTTTAATATAATACAACCACTTCATCACACTTGTTGACAAGAAAGTGGTAGCTGATTTAGACTTAAATAACTATCAATTGCTGTCACATGCTTTTGGTGAAACCATTGAAGGACCAGTCCCTGATGCAATTGCGTCACAGTTTCCTCAGTGGGCTCTTAGAAACGGGCCCTAAATAAAGCTTATATTTTTTGTTCTTTTTTTCTTCATTCATAACGTCTTATACTTTAAATAACCAAAAAAATCCATAAAGAGGCATTAATTGTTCTTTGTTTTTTCACTGCAAAAGACAACCAATTTAAGTAGCTTAATTTTTGTTTAAATCCTCCAAAAATTGGTGGTTTATGTTCAATTATAGTTCGGTATTTGTTACAAAAATTGGTTCATTTAGTTAACCAAATGATGAGATTATAGATACTAAAATCAATAGATAAATTGAGAGTTATAATTCCCCCTTTTCTTGAAATGTTATAATTGTCTGTAATTCTGATTATATATTCACCCATAACTTCAAACCGTACCTAAACTCTACTTGTTATGGAATTGGCTTTGAACTCTCTACCTCTTAAAAAATTTTATTTGCTTTAATTACATGATATTATTGGATAGACCTCACTAAAATCGACCTAGAATCAGTCTGAAATCTGACAGGAACCAGCATTCAAATGAATGATTGTAAAAAAAAACTTAAATAGATCTTGTTGACATCATCAAGAGATGATGCATTTGAAATAGAATCTCATAGAAAAAATGGTTTTTATTGATTTTTGAATGGTTGGAAAATATATTTAGCTATTTAATATGGACCACTAATACTTCTTTAAAAGTGTGTATCCGAATAGTACGACTTGAATACATGTTATACTTTCATTTATTGGACGGCTTGAATACATTGGATGACCTAACTTATACTATACTTCCCTACCTTATCGGTTTCATGTATTCGGCACGTTTTTTGGTTTTACACTTCTTTAACTGAAAATGAAATCCTTGGTATTTTCTTGGAGAATACGTTTGTTTGGAACTACATTAGCTTAGAGCAAAAAAGATACAGAAGTATTAATACAGATTTCTTTATGAAATAAAATGAAATAACATACTTACTAGATCATTTATAGGGGTTCATAACAAATCTCACGATAGAATAAAAATCCATTTGATTGATATTTTCTTTTAAATAAAAAGCAAGAAATAAAATAAACAACTTTATTAATATGTACGCTTTGATTATAAAGACACTTGAATTACTTACATATTATAGACACGCGTTTGCAAAAGGGGGCAAACCAGTATGACTTGAAAAAAAGGCATGACATATTTATCTGAGAAGAAGAATTGATAAGTTACATTATTTAAGTTGAGTTATATATATATTACCTTTTCATAGACTGAAAATACCAGAAAGTATATAGTGTCAAGAGCAAAACATCTTTTATTACAAAATGGGTAGAAGCCCTATCATTTTAAAAATAAAAGATATTTAGTCAGCAAGGTGTTTCATTTTGGTTAAGAGATTGCTTATTACCTGTACTGTTTTGAATGCTTGTTAAGTGTATTGTTTATCTAATATATATTAAGATGATTCTAAAAGCCAAAAGTATTAATAAAAGTTGAGATCTTAAGGGTAAGCTTATCAAGACATATAAAAAGAGACAAAATGAGAAGAGCAAGTTAAAGAAAGAGAAAATAAAAAAGAGGGGCGCGGTTATTCTATTAAATATGAATTCGGGGTTTTTTTTTAAAAATAAATAAATCAAAAAATAATTTTTGTCTGTAACTTAGAATTGAAAGAAAACGCAGTTGCACTATGCCAGCAGCTAATACATATGAAAAACAGAGTATAGTATAAAATCATATTATTCAAATACTAATACATAATATAAGAATAAAACATGGATTGAAAATTAAATTAAAGAAGCACATAAAATACTCACAACAAGAGTGGAAACATTCAAAGCTGTTCTTGTTATGTAATAGATCATGGTGTTCTCTGAGAAAGAATAAAACTTAAAGCCCAAATTAAACATAATATAAATAGACCCTTTGGATTTAAAAAAAAACAAGCTATTCTTATTATTCACAATGTCAAGAAATCTCAATAACAATTCAGTTAACAATGCTTTTGGTGAAGAACCTTCTGTGGGAAGGTAGATTAAAACCAGGCAGTCTTCAATTTTCTTATATTAATTTTATTTTTGTCTTTTATAAAAATCAAAAAAAAGCCCACCAAGAAATACCAATGATATAAGGACGATAATGTTGCAACACTCACAGGGAACAGTGAGCAATCAAAGACCACTAGCACCAAAGAGAGCTCGGTTGAATCTTGAAGGTGATTCGTTGGGTAGAACTCGTAACATCCATGATGTGTACGAGAAACTTGATACCATGAATGGTGTCTTAAACACTGTTTTGAAGAACACATCTTCTGAGAAAGCTGAAGCCACTGCTAGTAATGCAGTTGAGCAAGACATGTCACCTGGACGTCAATCAACATTGGATGTAAGTAATCATAATATGTTTTTATGTAGATAGAATTTAATATACATTTATATTATAGCAATTGTTGCGCGATTATTTGAGTGAAGAGAAATTGTATGACCAATACAATACCAATGAAAATAAAAACAGTGAGGGAAACAGACTCGTTCTGAAGTCTGTTACCAATTACCTTCGTCGTCAAGAAGAGGGGAAAAAGGTGGACTTGCCAACTCTTCGAACTAAGATTGTGCGGCACATTGGCAACAGAAAGTTGCAAGAAAAAAAAACAGGAGAAAAGAAGCAGGAAGAGAATCGACGAGCCTGTCTTCGTCAGCGACATGTAAAGGTAAAAAACACACGCACACAATATACTAGATGTGATATTAAATTAGAAATATTATATATTTATATATAGTCGTGTGAAAGAAGACAATCTGTCTTGAAAGCCAATCGGGCACACTTTGTGAACAGCTTTGGAGAGAATGTTGACAGTATTCTCCATGCTGATTACATGTCAGACCTTGAGAGTGATGATGAAAGAGAAGAAGAGGAACAGGATTCGTCCTCAGAAAAGAGTTTTTTTTGGAGATTCCGCCCAAGCTGGAGAAGCGAAGAGGTATAGTACAAAAAACTATTTTTTTGGATGGTGTGTAATAATACTTACATTGACATATAGGGAGATAGGTTTGTTGATGAACTTGATGCGGATTATAAGGCAGCTCATGATAAGAAAAATAATACCTGTCCATTCGAGCATAAATTTAAAGGAATAAGAGATAAGCAGCTTAGTAAGACCAAGGCAAACAAGCTGCCATCATGGTCAAAGAAACAATAAGACAATAAATCAAACATTTTCTAATAAATTGATAAAAGAGTGCAAAGTGGTATTTTATTAATATTATTTAAGCTTCTATTTTTTGGGGTAAAGGGATTACTAAACGTTTAAATTCACTAGTTATAGTAAACCTATATTTAGCAATTGCGATTGGTGAATATAAATGATGTACTGGAATAATACATTCATAATTAAGTACAGAAGAAGGTTCATTCCAGAGCTCAATGCCTTCATTTAACATTGGCTGGTAACTCCCCAAAGAATAACTAGAGTACCACTCAACAAACGCAAAAGTATGGGTGATGACAGTTTCGTTGATGGTTATCAAATGTTGAAATAAATACAGTATACGGCCAGGAAACGCTGCTTTATCTTCACTGTTATTCTCAAGATAATAGGCGCGGAAATAAGATCCAGAAGAGTATTCCTGTCCAAGAAGAGATATCCGTTTCATTTTCTCAATTTGGTTATTGACAAAAATCTGGTTAGACTCGCAGTTTGAATAATGGCCAAAAATATCGTGACTGCCATATGCGTGTCTGTAAAACTCCAGTAAACATTCATAATGTCCCTTGCACATTGTAATCCTTTGGTCGAGTTTAATCGGAAACACTGAAGGGGACAACAGCTCACAACCCAAAGCAGAATGACGAGGGTTTAACGAATATTCAACAAAGTCAGACAGAGAAAAGGTACTGGCAGTAGAAGATGGATGCAATGCTGCTAATTGATCTTGACTATTTGAAATGCGATGCAGAAAGTCAATTGCGAACTGGGGAAGATGGTTGACAAAAGATTGTATGAAGCTGCCAATGTATATTCTCTCCAAAAATCTCTTCATCATTGTTGATTCGAAGCTGCCTTTTTGATTTGTTTCGATATTCTTCAACAAACCATTGTATCTCTCGAAACTGAATAACCAGAAAGCATAAATTGGCCCAAAGTCATGAACACACTCGCCAAGATGATGATGTAGATGCATATTCGGTGTCATGGCCGATTTTCCATACAGTGTCTGAAATCTTGTACAAAACAATTGGAGTTTACTGTGGGCTTCGTCTATTTCTTTGTCATTGATCGAAGGTTTTGTGAGTAAGCGGCATGCGTCAACAAACAAAATCCAGTTTTCGAGATTCTTGGCTGGGAGCACATGCTTCAGAACAAATGGAGAGTATATGACGCACCATGACTTCCACTCGTCAGCTTTCATGAACGAAAACCCATCGGCAATCTTCTTTGTTATACGCGCATATCCACAAGGTACAACAATACCATTGGCAAGCTCTTGCATAGTTAACTGATTCTTTTCATTGATGTAGTTACACTCGCACCATATCTGAATCATTCGCTTTGCAGTTCCAAGATAGAGGTTATGCATCGGGTCTATAACTGTAAAGCGGACTGGGTCAAAGTAAGATAACCGATGAAGCTCTGACCACCGAGTGCCGTTTTCTTTTTCTAGGCGTGTTCGCTCAGTATTGTTCAATGCATTTGCCCAGCTGACAGCGTGTTCCAGATTCATTGTCTTCGTGCGTCTCACCCACTTGCTATACTTGAATCCAGAGTAGTCAAGCTTGCTGGTCTTCTTTATAGTCGTGAATTGTCGTTGACATTTGTGACAGGCGCATGTGCTCATGTGGCCAGTAAATCCAGAGGTTTTGCGAGCAGCAGGGATATCACAGGCAACACACATTAATGCAGCACAAACAACAATCTTTCTATTTTGTGAGTCTGTCATTTCTACACCAATGTATATCTCCAACAATTTGTCAACGAGCGGCTTCAAGTAATGATTCATGCTGTCAGTGCTTGCTTCCTTCGGCCCAGGCATCATACCAACAAGAATGACATTTTCAGACTTAAGACGTTCACTCTGTGGGAGATTGTTGATAGAGAGATATATCGCACCACTGGAATGTGTTCGTCTATCAAATGGCTGAAACCAATTGATATTCAGAGTCAACATTAAAGATTGGCTATCATTAACAAACCGTCTGCCATTGATGTCTTTAATATCACTCCAAACTGCACCATCGAAAATGTCAAGTTTGGTGTTTTCAATTATTTGACGACTTGTCCACAAATTGATCTTGGACACGAAATCTGGCTTGGAGAATTTTTGTTGCAAGGCGTACTTCAGAGAGTTGAATGGATATACCATTGCTGAAAGAGAACGATTTCCAGTTGACACTTTAAAGAGATTGTTGTTGCAAATGGCGGATTGAGAGAATTTTTTAAATGTACAGACTCTTTGACTTGTTTCCGGAGGATAAATCGAATGACATTGTGAGCATGCAATGTATACTGTCATTCCGTCTGTTGCCATGTTAAATCCTGTCTTATGCTTCAAGCTATTGATCGTCAGTGGAAGGGCGCCAGACATATCACAGAGAGACAGTAGAGTATTACAAAATTCAATGAGAATCGATCCACCGCTTTCCACCAAAAAGATCAAGTGAAATATGACAATGAATACTGCAACAAAGCGGATATACAAGGGCATGTTATCAAAAGACGAAGGACGAACTATGAAGACAAAGGTTAAGTTAGTTTAAATTAATATATTGATTAATTGTCTATACCGTATTAATTCATACCTGATTCTACTATCGAGGTCCCACTGGTCTCATCAAAGTTTTCTTCTTGTTCAAAATCAAAACCGGTATCGCCTTCTTCAATCTCATCGCCATCAACCACAAATGCTCCTGTAATTGTATCTTCGGCAGTAAAGATGGACTCTTCTTGGGACAAAGGTAAGTCAACTGGAAAGGAATAATTGTTGTAAAGATGTAGAAATAAAAATATAATTACAATTATGATCATATAAAAAATAAAAAATAAAAAAAATATATATCAGTTTCAATTATTATTTTGTTCATTTATTTTATTTTATTTTCTTACCTTCTTGATCAAATTCAATGTTTTGTTCTTCATTTTCGTCTTCATATTCGCCTTCGCCTTCGTTCTCGTAATCATAATCATTGTCATTGTCACTGTCAATACTATCTACTTCCATGTTGTCAAAA